GGGCGTGGCTGAGCGGACGTCTAAAGACGCCCGCTCAGATCTAGAGAGCTCCTGGCCGGCCGTTTTTTTACAACGGCCGGCCGGGAAGTGGTTAAAATCATTTTTAAAATTGTTTTATTTATTTTTTACTGTTGGGGGGGCTTTGGGAAATATTAGGGGTCCAAACAGACCCCTGACATTTCCCTTTTAAAATAGAAAAGAAATTGAGGACACCAAATCCTCAATTTCTTTTTTAGCAGCCTCAGCACTCAATGAATGGGAAGCACTCAGTACAGAGGCTCCTCCCATTCATACTTACTATCAATAGTTTCTGAATGGGGAGGAGCCTCTGTACTGAGTGCTTCTCCCCATTGGTGAAATCTTGAATGAACAGGCTGCGATGTAAATCACAGCCTGTTCATTCATAACTGGGGACACATAGCACTATGTGTCCCCAGTTATTTACAAACACTGGAGTGATCAGACGATCGCTCCAGTGTTTGTCCTTCTCACACGGAGGACCGGTAAATATCACTGATATTTACCGATCCTCCGCTCAGCCACGCACAGAGCCGCTGTCATCCTGAAGCTGACAGGATGACAGCGGCTCCGATCTCCTAACCGCTCAGGGGGCGGACGAGGGAGCGCTGTCATATCGGATGGCCAGCGTCCAGTGGTGAGGGGGAGAGAAGCCGCCCCCAGGACGAGCTGTGTCGGCCGCACGGCGCCCTTGTTGCCATGGCCGCACTGCTCGCACACCCCTAAGGCCGGCCCTGAACACAGTACACACAGATCAAGCAGCTCATAGAGGGATGTTGAAGAAAAAAACATCTTAAATGGAGAAAAAACAGAGAAGAACAAAAGGTTAGACTTTTCTCACTAGAAAAAAATATTTGGAGGGGGTGTGGCGTAACACATGGCAGAGTAAGACATGTACCTGACTTCTCCCGCTCCTACGAGTCAATTAATCATATGCAGAGGCTTGATTCTTTCATTCGTGGAGAGGCAAGGATCAGAAAAAGATAGACGGGAACTGACGAAATCAAGACATCGTCGGCTGTTTTCTCTCCTGAAACACCACGATCAGAGCTACCTCACAGATGACCCCGCAAACCACTCCCAAGGTGGCGAGCATCGCTTCATCTCTCTCACATTCTGCAGACTCCATACAGCAACAGAATGACAGGAGGGACCGAAACCGGAATATCATCGAGGGTTCCTTCTCTCACAACACCGCAATTGATGTGGCCTCACAGATGATGCAGCAAACCGCTGCCAAGATGGACCTCCTTTCCCCTCACACTCAATAGACTCCCCACAACAACAGGTGAGATCTGCATATCCCCCTCTACACAGCTCTGTTCCCTCTCCTCCAGCTCACAACAAATCTCCAATGTCCACTGACTCTAAAGAAAGCTGGGACAGTAAATGATACATCAAGGCCTTACCAACTAAACATGATCTTGATGCCTGTATGAGAGGATTAGAAAACACATATAAAATGGAAATTGAAACACTGAAGCGTGATATTAGTGTCAGATTTGGTGATATTGATCGCACTACTACTATTTGACAGTTAACCTCACATATGTACAGGGGAATTAATGAGTCTCAGTAATGAGATCTACATAAATTTGTGAATATTCACAAAACATGAACTATTGGTGGGACTTTAAGACGGGTTGCATATTATGTGTGTTAATCTGATCTATTAATATCGGTTTCTGTATTTTACCCCATATAGGTGTGATCTGGCAGACATGATGGCTCTTGAGCACTGTTTAGAAAGACTAGGTATCTTGATCATACAGTACGGGACAGAGGTAATGCATTAAAAAAATTGGGTTCATATGTATTACCAGGTGGATATTCTTGCCTCTGGTGATGTGAGTTGGGGTTTTCCTTACTTTTCTTCTGTTTTGGGCCAGTTGGCAGTTGCTTTTCTGTGTGCCCACCCCTCAGGGCATTGATTGTGGACGCCCTGTCTATGAATTGCCTATGTCCTGTACTGTGTGATCAAAAAAACAGGATTTTTGACTTACCAGGCAAATCCATTTCTTGGGGATAAAGTCTAGGACACAGCACCTTCCCCTCTATATCCTCCATTGCTTGCTAAAAAAAACTGAGGATTTCCTGAAGTGGAAAGGGCTATATAAGGGTTTTCACAGCTCTGGCCACTGTCCAATCACCTGATGATGCCCGCATATTACCAAATTATCTATAAATTGTCTGTGTCCTGAACTGTAGTCCAATAAATTAATTTTACTGTTAAGTAAAAAATCCTGCTTTTTCTGGCGCTCAAAACCAGATAACATCACACTCCAGCTGATGGCAGACTGTGTATAGAAATGGCTTTTTGTCTATCTAAATATAGTACATTATTTTGTAATTCCTTATTTCTATCTAAGCCTTAATGAAGAACTTTGTTTTCATGTATATGTTTATTTTTCTGCCATCAGATGCGACCCAGAGTTTCTACATCAAATTTTGCTCTCTCTCTCTTTTTCTCTCTCTTGCACGCATAACCCACTGTTATACTTGAAAACAGAAAACCTTTCAACATTTAATTTGCAACAGATGGGGGTTCTATTTCCTCACTAAACACATTACATTGGCCTGGCATGTATGTATTAGTTTAGTATTGAAGACAGTGTCGATGCAAAACTGCACAAAGTTTAGTATAATTTCATGTGGCCAGTTAGAGAACAGACTTTAAACTGGAACCAAATAAGTTGCTAAAATGTTTTTTTGGGATAATATAATTATTTTTTTCAAATTATCTTACTTATACTGAGTCAGACGGTCTATATGCAAACCAGATTTAAATGATTCTGGAACATTTGATTAGCCAGGTGTAATAGTTTTTGGGTAGTAAACAAATTATGCTTCATACAATATCAGCGAGCTATTAACCTTTTGCTGAGATTGGGCTGTAAATGTAACCCACATTTACTAATGGCTTTTATTTAATTTGTTTTGTATTTGTATGCTTACATGTAATAAAAACTTTCAGTGCACTGCTACAGAACAATGGAAAACTGAATAAGGGATATAATTCGTGTATTTATTTCTCAGTAATTTGTTGCAACTACTATACCCCATGCACTGATGTCCATGATGGCTTCCCAGATAGCAAGGATAACTTGCTACAAACTTGTGGCCGTGTGAAATTGTAATTGTATTAACTTGCTGCACATATTCCTGGCAAGTTGTAGACTTGCAGAACACTTGCAGCACAAGTTCTAGTTGACACTTTTTGAATTTGTAGCAAATTTGCTTGGCAAGTCTACAACAAGAGTCCTGCAGGTCTTTGCAATGCAGACTTGATGTAATTGTGCAACAAAATTGTGAAGCTTGGCAAGTCATTTTCGAACTTGCAGCTCAATTGCTTGCTATCTGGGTTACTATTACATTTGATATGGGAAGGACAGCTCTAGCATATTAATATAAAAATAAAAGATACACATGTACAAATGGCACATTGATTTAAACTTACTTGGTGGCTGTAACACAGTGTTGATAGCATGCACCACGCCATTTGTTGCCATCAGGTCTGCTTCAGAAACACGCTGTTTGTTGACATGCAGTGTGGAGTTTCTCTGTAAAAACATCACATGAAACTGCAAGTCAAATGTTTTTACATATTTTACCATTTATAACCTGATCTCTGAGCCAGCAAAGTGTAAACGGCTACTTCAGAATTGTGTCATTATGTTATGTGGCTTACATAGGGTCTGATAACACTGAGGTGTAAGCAGTTTTTTAGAAACATGGGGAAGAAAATATAAAACTGTGGCTGTGCCAGAGTCATAGAGCCAATTTTGACAAGCCATGTGCTTATTCTCGAAATGGGCTTCCTAAACATTTAAGATGTGTGATCTTTGCTGTAAACAGACAAATGTTCACCCCAATCATTTTCTGGGAGTGCAATCACATCACACATTTCATATTTTCTTAGGAATGGATTCCATTTTAAATAAAATTTTCAAACAGCATAGAAATCATCAGCACTAATAACTTACCGAGACGGCTTCCAGTTTTCCACCCTGCAGAGACTTTAATCTTACAAGCTGGCTAACTGCCCCGCTGACCACGATCTCATCACCAATGTGATACTTCAAAAGATTGGAAAGCTCTTTGGCATTACCTTCAAAGCAACACAAAATATATATTATACTTTACTTGTAAAACCAATATACTACAGTATAATGGATACTGCATTAAAGCACCAGTATACACTGAGTGGCCAGATTATTATGACCACCCCATCAATACTTTGTTGGGCCACAAGATAACTCCACGAGATGACTTCGTTGGGCCGCCTCGTGACTCCACGAGATGTTGAAAGGTGATGCGAGGAATCTGACACGGCACTGTTGCCCTTCTGTTGTCTTGTACCAGTCTTGCCACTTTCGGTTCTGCCCTAACATTGACTAGTCGCTGACGGCCACAATTCGCACATTCAGACCCAGATTTTCGGCTGACAGTCCAGTCTTTAAACACTTTAACAACAGCTGCTCTTGAAATTTAACGAATTCTACTGTTTTGCTGATGCTCGCTCCATGGCTCCGAGCGCCAACAATCATCCCACGTTCAAAGGCTGTCAAATCGCGTTGTTTACCCATATCTTCAGGAAAAAAAAATCACTTCTACTGTCGTGGTAAACAACCTGCTTCCCCATTTATAATGGTCTGGCCCTCTAGCAACTTCAGCGTGAAATTATAGCCAATTATAGCTAATTTGACTACAAACGTCAGGTGGTCATAATAATCTGGCCACTCAGTGTATATATTATTGCAGGGTTAGGTCTCTAACTGGACTTGTATCTTAGTGCAGACATTTGAAAGAGCCAGGTTTCTTGTGTATATATACTGTATGCAGAACATCCACGATGTCCCATTTGATTTTTTGGCAGGTTTAGAAAATCACAACAAGTTCAACTTCAAAATAATGTATAAAAGGTGTGGTATCATGTGGTATCCCACGGTACAACTGGGTGTTGTAGGGGACTCTCAGTCTGAGCAGTTCCAGGAAGCAAGTTCTTTTACTGGGAAAGAGCTGGGAGGGATGAAATCTCCATTACTGGGTCAATGGTTTAGTAGTGGCCAGCACCTAGTGATTGCACACCTGTGCACAGCAATTATGGAAAGGGTGCTGGCTGATGTTCAAAACTCCAGCTGGGGAAGAGGAAAAGTGTTCAGGAGTCAGAAGGACTCCACCCAGAAGTCAGAGTGGAGCCAGGTGGCTGTGTATGTGTTGGAGGCACATGGGTGACAGCCAAGGAGGCTTGGAGAGCCGGTGACACACTAGGGATGTGTGCAAGAGTCACACTAGAGGTGTGGAATCTACTGAAAGATGCTAACCAGTACTGAGAAGGGCTGTGGACTGTGGCTCTGTTAAGAAAAACCCTAATGTCCAGGGACTGGGACACATGGAGTATGTGCGGCAACCTGGAGTTGTTGAGATTATGTAATACTTTCTGTTTGCTGATATACAAGCAAACCTTGTATTATAACTGAACAAAAATGTATTGCTGTCATGAAAGAAATAAAAAAACTGTCCTGTTTTATGTTAAAGTGGCTTTGAGGCACAAAGGATATTACAAAACTGTGTGTACAATGTTGTATAATTTTTTCTTTATAAAAGAAAGTTTGACAACCTGGAGTATAAAATAGAAAGCTTATGGACTAAGGAGGGGATGAGGGGGATTGAGGATAGTACTCATCTCCAAATCAAAATGTCAAGTTCCTCATCATCCCTGTGCAATACATAGACAATCAATCAATCATGTCAGCAGCTAGGTTGGGTTTAAATGGTTTGTCAGCACTGGACACAATTTTGAGAACTGGACAACTTTCCTGTTGCTGTCATGACCGGATACACTTACTATCTTCCCTCCCACACCTGGAAAGTTTACAGGGGGAATGGGGGAACTGAAATGTGCTTGGTCAATTCCACTTCTACTGCCATCCTTTTTTGTACATGAAGAGGCTGATACGTTATTTTAAATACCCCGCTGCACAGGGTCCTTAAAGGGAAGCTATAATGGTTTTGGAGAATGTTGTTTAAAATGTGTTGAATATTACCAATTTAGAAATGACTCTTTTATTTCACTGCTGCCTATTTAAAATATCGTTTACAAATTACCATTAAATACAAAGCCCTTCAATATTGGCAGAGCATACAGGACTTTCTTATAAAAAGCCCCATCAGTGTACTACATTTCATCTATCTCCATCTACTTGAAAGGTTATACCGCACTGTATGACAAGAGCAGAGAGGAAAGGGCTCTGGTCATGACTCATCCAGCACAAAAGTAGTAGTAGTATTATTTATAGCGGTATAATGACACAACTATCAGAAATGGAACACAAGAGCACAACCCTGTACATTCCCTTCAAAATAATATTTACTGCACACATATATCTTTAAATGTACTACTTGACTTAATGTGCATTAGAATGAGAATTAGTGTATTGCTGAGTTATAAAATGTTCCAGCTACATAACGATCACTGCCAGTGCCATAAATATATGTAAGGTCATTGCACCAAAATATGCCCATGAGAATAATAAAGTGAGCTAAAATAAAAAACACTCAATCACACTACAGCTGACATAGGAAAGCATGTTGGCCAAGTGGTTAGCACTCTTGCCTTGCAGCTCTGGGTACTAGGCATGACTCCCACTAGAGATGTTATCAGCATGGAATTTGTATGTTTACCCCAAACATATGCAATTTCCATTTTAAATCAAAATAGTATAAACATTAGCTAACTGGATTACACATTGATGCAGCTGTAGAGGAAGCAAACTGTGCCAAGTCCCACACAGGTTGGAGGCAGTGGGAGAATAGTGTCTTCATCTGAGCTCTGCATGACAGTTGGCAAGTATTACATAAATGAGGGTAAATAGCTAGTTATGGTTATCATGGTTACCCTTTAAATTATTCTTGGTACAAGAATCATTTTCAGATGACAGAAAAAATGTGTGTGTGTGTGTGTGGGGGGGGTTACACAGGTTTGTTGGAGTAAAAGAAACCAAGAATGACCTAGAATCTCCTACTTTTGTTCCTATGTTTAGTTGGACTTTGATCTTACTCACTAGGACAACACTAACACATCTCCTGCATGCCAGCCCTGAAAGCTCTGTACAAGTATACACATTGCAAAAAAATGTGATGTGGCAGACACTCTAATCTATAAAGGTTTTCGATGGTGGACAAATACTAAATCTCATGAAAATTAATGGACGTCAAGGACTACATTTTTGACAAAAGGGGGCAGATATTAAAGCATTTTGTAAAATACTCTGATAAGTTTGTCAGATGTTTAAAGTGTATCTGAAGGTAAACCTTTATAAGTAGATGTTAGAACCACTATCATGTTTTTATTGTTGTCTGGGGAGACTGGGAAGATTAACTTCCTGTTTGTTTAGGTGACTGCTGTCACCAGAACTGAAAGTGATGGAAAATCCAAAAGTTGTTATCAGAATCTTAATCTTCCAATGGGGACACTTGTTCCAATGACAACTGTCAAAGAAAGCTTTTACTTCATTTGTTAGATAGTTCTACTCACAGGAAGTGGAGGAAAACTATAATGGGTTTTAACCATTCCCTATTGATGGGTTTTAACATTTCGCTACTGTATTCAATATGAAAAAAAAGGGTTTTGGCTTTATAGAAAGTTTCAATAACTGAACTATTGCATGAAAAGTTTGCTGTGTTCAAAGTAACTACTACTAATTCACGTCATAGGAAGCTGTTTAATGCAGTACATATTCTGTATATTTCTGGTGTCCTTTATAAAAATTTTGCACAATTTGCCTAACTGCAAACAGACAAGTCTGAATGAGAAATCATACACAAGTACAATATATTTGTTTAATCTGGAGCAAATGTAAACCATGCATACACACTTTTCTTGTAGCTTTCTGTGAAAAGCAATGAACATGCTATCCGAATCCATCTTTTGCAGTCCATTTAACTTAATCGCTGACTGGCTTTAGACCTCTTGCTGTGCAATTTTATAGACCCCTCCAGCAGTGTCATAATATTTCATGCTTAGACACTTCCATTCCACAGAAGTATGGTAACATTTTTCTTATTAAAGCGTTGAGTTGGTTTTAAAATATGTGATCTGGACTTATGTTCATTCTTTAGCTTGTGAATTTGTGGCTTGTTTAGATTTGTTGTTGAGTGTAGCAAATATTGCATTGTTTGTCTAACTATACTTACACTTACGTCCCCTTTATATGCATATATAATGAGCACAAAAGTCCCTGTTTGATAGCAGTGCACAAAGAGTGCAATGTTAGCAGTTAACAGCAATGATATCAGTACTACCTACAGTATAATGGCCAGTCAAATACTACTTTTCACAAATTACTATTATTTTACACAATTTAACTATATTGTGAGGGCTCATTCAAAATGGAGAGCTTTTTCTGAACTCCAGTACAAGCACTTCCAAAACAAGCATTCAGCCTCATGGCTTTTCCTTACAGCACCCACTTCTCCAGCCCTCAGCCTTAATCTTTTCCTTCACAGACAGTCCTCTTCAAGTCCACACACACTGTTCAGCTTCCACTTGCAGCACTTACTGACCAGTCCAATCCCTTTTTCCTGTCCTGAGGCTCAGACCAGTGGTAGACGATCTCAGCATTTCAGTTGTGGTGAAACTACAAATGCCATTATGCCTCTGTTAATGACAGTCATGCCTGTGGCTGCCGGAGTCTTGCAATGCCTCATGGGCTTTGTAGTTTCTACAAGAGTTGGAGTGCCAAGGTTGCCTACCCCTGGCTTAGACCTTTGTGGACCAACCTAAACCTAATTGGACACCTGACATCGGGCACCCTTTCCTTGCCTGGACAGACTCTCCATGAGTCAATCTTGGCATCCCTTAAAAAGACAGGCTACCTGTTTGTCACAATAGGTTTATAAAAAAAAATACAAAAAAATATTTTTAAAAATGGTAAAAGGTTAGAAAAAAACATTTTCGTTTTTTTTTTTTTTTGGTTTCATTTCGGTTTTGAAATTTTCATTCCGGTGCACCTTTACCTCTAAGTTTGTATTAGCTTCTGGTCTTTTGCATATTAGTGTTTGCACTTGTTAAAGTACAATTTTGTGTATAGTCCATGGTTGAAACCCAAATATGAATATACCAGAGGCAGGGTGCCCCAGGTCTAGTGAGACATCTAGCAGAACATATAACATTGTCAGATTGCAATTCTTTGTTCTACGATGACAGGATCTGTCTAAGTAATATCTTGCTATGCCTGCATAGTTCTGGTAGGATGTTACTCAGCACAGACTAAACAGGCAGGATACAGCAGCATGAGACATCTGCATTTTTTTTCAGGTAAGCTTATAACTGCCACCAATGACAAGGGGCACTGCATGCATTATGGGCATTTACCACTGAACTCCAATGGAAAAGGGGACACTCACCACTGAACACAATGGTTATGGAGGGACTCACATCTGACCAGCAACACAAGGGAGGGAGCACTCCTAACCATTGCACACTGTAGCCTGTGCTGTGCAATAAATAGTTCTGACCACTGTAACTCAAACACTGTGTTGTACATGTCATAATTCTAACTACTACACTTTAGACGCATGTTGTATGTTACATAATCCTGGATACTTCACTGTATACGTTATGTTGTATTTTACATAATCCTGAATGCTGCACTTTATACGCTATGTTGTATGTTAAATAATCCTGATCACTGTACTGCATATGTTGTACATTACATCGTTCTGACTGCTGCACTGTATATGCTATGTTGTGCTTTACATAGTCCTGACGTGGCACATAAAGCAGAATTCTTCTTCTCACTATGCCCCAGGGTGCCCTGAGTATTTCACAATCCCAAAACACAGAAGACATAAAGCTGACAGTGGAGAGAGAAGTGGGAAGAAGGAAAAACATAGAGAGTCAAAAAGAGAAAGATGGAATCCAGATGAACTGTTGCAAAAGCATTCTTGTCTTTCTAGTGACTGATTGTTAATGATTGCTTCCTATTTGACACATTATTGTTCATGTAGCTAACACTATAGATGACAGTTTGTCATCATTAGTGATGGATCCAGTTAACTTATTTTAAATTATGTCAAGTTGCTTGGCAACCTTTTAACCTAGGGAGAGATTAAGTGGTTTTACTTTACCAGTAATAAACAAGCAGCTAATCCCATCAACCTGATAAACACTTTCTATTGCATATGCATACATAGTTTGGATACTTTCAATTTAAGATATGGAATACATTTTAAGCAATGTATTTCTCTGTGGAGCTTGCTGAGAGCTGAAGACACTATGCATACCTAACAGTCTGTTTAATTCTCCTCTTGGGAGAGCGCGGAAAGCTTCATCTGTTGGAGCGAAGACTGTGAAAGTGCCTTCTCTGTTCAGTGTCTCAGTAAGTCCAGCAGACTGGATTGCTGCCACCAATAAGCTACAAAACAAAGAGCGAAACATAGCACATCATTTTAGTGTGTCATAACACCTAAAATAATCCCTTCAGAATATTACTGCCTAAAAGCATAAAAACACAAATTTTGAAGCTGGGGATTAATGGATAATAAAAATCACAGCAAACAGCACAATACTACCATGTTTCCCTTTCTCTGATACACTGACACAAGTTGTACCATGTGCAAGCTTTCTGCTCCAAAGCTGTGCATATTCTTTAACTTGTACACAAAGAGGTGCGTTTATAAAACATTTTAGTTTTAGATTATCATTCATTTAGATTATCATTGATAATAGCCACTAAATGGAGCTGAGGAGCACTTTCTATGCTCTTCAGCTCCATCTAGTGGACATAATATGGCGCAAATCTAAAACTAAGGGAGTTATTCACAAAGCTGCCGAGCCCAAGTGAAGTGAGCTGAACTACGTTCGGCTATTCACTCTGGCTCAGTACGGCTGATTTGAGCCGTACATCGGCTGAAATCAGCCGTACATCGGCTGCACTTCAGTCTGCATGTTTGGCTGAGCAGAAGTGCATAAGGACTTCGACTTCGAACCAACATCTGGATCGGCAGAGCCGAAGCTCTGGCAGCTCACTCCCTGCCGTTTTCCCCTATTCTCATAGGCATTCGGCTATTCTGCTCGGTACCTCCGTGGTACCAAGCAGAATAGAAAATCTGTGAAAAGAGTAATATTTTAAAAAAAATATTAAAAAAATAAAATAAAAACAATTGGGCGGAGCTAGCAGTGACAGCTAGCTCCGTCCAACTGTTTCCTATTGGCCGGCATCTGCTAGAGTCTTTTAGCAGGTCCCGGCCAATGAATAGTTGTTATTTTTTAATGACAGATCAGCGTCCCCAGGTTATTTGGGGTCGCTAAACTGTCATTACAACTGGGCGGAGCCAGCCATGAGATCACGTCTGGCTCCGTCCAGCTGTCGTTTGCGGGGCTTATAGCTGGCCTCCGGCAGGCCGTTCACCTCGCTTCAGCTGTCACTTCGGCCCAAAGTGTCCAGTAGAGAAAGGCTGTCTAGTGTTCAGGCTGGGATTTTCGGGCATGCAAACTAATTTCGATTAGTGAACTAAAACTTACTAAATGCATCATTGTCGAGAGTAGGAATGCACCATTTTTTTCGGTATCGAGTACGAGTACTGATATTTTGGTTTTGGTACTCGTCAACACCAAGTACCGATACCGGTGCTTCAGCTGGAATGGAGCCGTCTTCCCGGGCAATCAGGAAGCTGGGCGGTGGGTAATGACATGCCACCTGGCTTCCTGATTGCCCGGGCAGCCGACTCCATGCTGTTTTGGCCGGCTCAATTGTGATTGGCCGGGAA